TGCAGAGGTGCCAGTGTGAGTTTCTGTACACTCATTGTGAAGATCAGCACTTGTCTGACAGAAAAAAACAAAAAAAACAGATTGTATGAATAAACAGTTGTAAATACAGTCATATCCACACTCACAAACGTAACCATGTATCCTTTACTTGGTGCGTATTAATACATTCCTCACCAGCAGAAAAAGTGATGGATGTTTAAATCCGTTCATATTTCAATCCACTCTTTTTACTTCAGCTATAATTTTTGTATCAAAACGCTTTGTGTTGGAACAAAATACTCCCACACTGAATATCTTATTTTAGTCTAAGGTTTCACAATAAGTGTTTCAGGCTTACTGGTGAATCATAAAAACAGATCATTGTGTTGGGCCTAGAACATTTAAAATTACTGCTTGCTGGAAAATTACTCATAGGATTAGTATTGGTGTTCTGCTCCCTCTTCAGCAGAAGAACTATAATTTGCAATGAAAAACGTGCTTTATTTGGAAATTAAATACGAGACTCATCTGCCCATGTATCCACATCTCAGCTATGAAGAGAAGCCACTTAGGAAGGACTGATCTCCTGGCTCACTTGGAATGACATTGTTTTAATCCCCATCAGTGTAGCTTATTGTAAAATTAGCATCCACCAGGGCTGAACAGAAATTGTAAGTACTTAAACATTATTTTATCACAGCAATTTTCTTCAGTAAAAGTTATTTCTTGCACAGTTAATGAAGACACATAGGCTGCTCTGCCTGCTTGCAGAGTACCTTTTACAGGTTTGGAATCGCTACTGTTGCTGCCTTATGTGGGGGCTGACAATCTTACAAAAGCTAATGGCAAGGTGTATCAGAGGTACTGACTCATATTGTACACCAACTTCACAGGTTCTTTTTCCCTTTTACTCTAAGTATCTCTTCATCCGCCATTTCTGAAGAAGTGGACCATATCAAACTTCATGCAAAGACCTCTGTCATATACAAACAGCAGACAAATTCAGCACGCTTATGTAACTGCATTGACACAACGATTTTGTTAGCCATTGCTTTACAGTAGAAAATGTTCTAGGAATACAGTAATTTTTTTGGATTACAAATCCCTCAGTGTTTCAAGGCAAAAGCACTAAGCATGTAACACATAACGTAAAGCAGGCACTTGAAACCAACCATTTAAGAGCTCTCACTTGTTATCTGCACACATAATACGTTTCTATATTTGTTCTGAATCTGGTAAAAACAACCTACAATTCTTTGGTCAGTATAATCCCCACTGCTGTATGCTGTGGCCAGAGTTGAAGAGCACTTCTCTGCATACCAAGGCGAAAGGCCTTGCTGAGAAGCACTGCTAATGGAGATAGTGTAGATACTATCAGTGTAACCATCACAGTCACAGTTGTCACCCTGACGGCCTCCGTTCCCAGAAGCCCATACGAAAATGGAGCCTTTCCCGTTTCGGCCCTGAAAATGGAAATGAGTGGTTAGTAAAGAGATTTCAGGCTCTGCAATGTATTCTTAACAACTCCTCCCACCCACCCCCCAAGCCTAATATATCAAACACTTTCAGGCAGAAAAGGACAATTTTCCATAAGAACTGGAGAACACAGAGACAGAAGAAACCAGCAACCTGAGGTATCCTACTTCACACCCTAGAGTACATCTCTTAGTTCGACTAGTCTAGGTTTAGTGTTCCAGGTACTGCAACTTTCCTCAGAATAGGTTTTTAGGTTAGAAGCAGAGTCAGTGCTCAACAGGTAAGTTTTCCCACATGCTGATGTTTTGGTCCTGAACATTTCTAGGAAAAAGGCTCATTTTTTTTTTAATAAATGGCAAGTCTATCAGGGCTTATTTCACCCGCTTTTCCTGCAGTCACAGAGGTACAAGCAGTGTGAATCATGTACATGATATGACCTTTCCACCAATTTATTTTTTGTAAGGAAGCCTTCCACGCTTAGCATTCGCTTCCTGAAACACAGCAAACCAGGAAGCACATCTGACTGAAAACCCTCCCTTCTCTTACATATCTGTGGGCCAGTACCACCAGCCTCCAGACATAACCACATCCATTCCCTGCTCGGGTCTCCAGTCTGTAATGAGGGAGCAGCAGCTAATAACTGATGCTGACAGCTGACAGCGTGTAAACCACCACAGCTATCACAGAGGAAACAGGTATCGCCCCACCCAGTCTTACTCTGTGCTAGTCCTTCAGAGGAAAAAAATCCATTTTGCGTGAAAAGCAAAAGTTCCTACGCTGTTCATTATAAATATACATACATTTCTCTGGTGACAGCAGTTGAGTTACAGACTTTTACCATTCCACTCATATGAGATTTGAAGTTATTTGTGCAAGTGCTAAGACATTTGCAGTGTTTAAATCATTACAAATAAAGAAAAGTAAGCTGTACTCTGCTAAAATGGGAAGGACTAGCCATGTCAATTACAGAAAAGGAGATAGTATCTTCCTTTGAGACTAACGGCTGCAATCCCAAAAAGCACTGGTATGTGTAAACACCTCCTTTGACTTCACTTAGAGTGCCTCTCAGATGTTTAAGGCTAAGCATATGCTTAAGTGCTTTGCCAGGCCAGCAATGGAGGCGTGAGGGATGAAAGCGATGGGCAACCCCAACTCTGGCTGACTTTAAGCAGAATGAAGACCATTCAGACCCTTGCAAAAGGAAGCCTGACAAATTAATGGGTAAATCTGCTCCCTTAAGAAATACAACAAGTTATTTAAAAAAATACATTCTTCACCAGATTACTTACTTTTTCAGAGTAAGACCACTGACCATTGGTTGCCTAATCATTTCCTCTAATTCTCCCTCTGCTCTTGCTGCCTACCTCTGAACTTAGATCTCTGTTTATCACCAGCCCACTCCTCTCGGGCTCCATTCTTCCCTCAGAGTATGTTTGTCAGCTGTCAGACTCTTCTTTCTTCTTCTCTCCTTCCGTCTGCTAATGTTAACTGCCCTTTTTCCAAAATCCTCTTTTTCTTTGCTTCTGTCCTTCAAGCTTTCCTCCATTTCTCTCCTCTGCTGTCTCTGTTTCAGTTTTCCTCACTGTATTAGTACCTGTCCATCTTTAGACATCTTTTCACCTCACTGGCAAGAGCAAGAGCAGCTTATCCATACATCCCCAGTAGCTCTCAGTTTGCACCCTACTTATCATCCAACCAGATCTAAAGAGGATAACATAAAAAGGAACTGTAAAACATTGTTTCCAATACTCTTCATTATGCATTTCTACTATCTTCATCTAAATTGGATCACGATACACACCAATTTATAAACTAACGCAATTAACATAATACAAGCCCATGCACAGGGTGCTAAAATGCATGACTATTTCACAAAGCAAAATATTCAGAAAGCAGAAATTTTGTATTAAATTTTATAGCCTTTCAGTGGAGAAATCCAATTACTGTTCAGTGCAAAACAAGCAGCAGAGAAGGGTGGGGGTAGGGCGAGACAAAGGCAGCAGAAGTAAGGATGGAAAAAGAAAGCTTATCTGTGGAGAACGGCAGCATAAAACCAGCTTCCAAAGCTCTAACGGTGCTTTTTTAAAAGTCCTGTTCCAACTGGTAATTTCTGACCTGTACTATTAAAATATATCTTCTCCTTTTCAAATATGTTTGAGCAAAGAGAGCACAAACCATTGTTGCTTCTTCCCTGATATCAAACATTTTAGAATTTTGTTCTCTGCCACATTTTATTGTCTCTTTCTCTTAAGTACTGTACCTGTTTTATCCCATACTCAAAAGCCTTCTGTGCCAGTCTCCCAGGTCCCTCCACGGTTTTACCATCATCATTAGGGCCCCAGCTTGCACTGTAAATATCCACATGCTCTGGGTTGAAACCAATAGAACTGGCTTCAATTGCATCGGTGACTATTCCATCCAGCATACGTATACCTTAACAGAAAAAAAAAAAAAGCAGACTGGATTCACTCTCTGTTCCCTCTTCTTTCCCTTCGTTAAGTGTTTGTAAAGTCTCCAGCAAAATTAATACATAACTATTGCAACCACAGCCTACTGCTGTTCATATAAGTAATTCCAAGGACAGTTCACGCCAGTGTGAATCAGTACACTCACCCTTTATTTACGGAGCTCAGTGCTCACCACAAACATTAAGAAAACCCTCTTAAAATCTCGGCTGCCTCTTATTTACATCTTTCTCTCTTTCTACAGAAAGCCAAGAAGATCATGTTTTGCTTACCGTCCCTAATTTTTCTTATTGCACTGAGGTCTTTCTTGACTCTCATCCTCTCTGCCAAATCTGTAACAAAGACTTCTCAAACTGCTAAGCATGCCACTAAAACTAAACAGAATTTATCAATGCCACTAAAACTAAACAGAATTTATCAACCCTACCTTTATTATCAAGAGTCCTAAGAGTCCTAGTTCAAAGATGCAGTGCTGAACACTCTCACTTAAACACATTGTCCTCACAGTCATTAATGTTTTGCTGTCTTTGTGATCCTGCTATTTCACTAGCTCTTCAATCTTCACCACAAAAAATTCTCACTGTTGTTTTACTGCCGCATTTTTTCTACTTTAAGCAGTCCAGAGATGCTAGAGATATGTAGCCATTAACATTTTATTAGGAACTGCATGATCTAATCTTCTTCAGAGCAAGCCTGATCTCAGTGGTACTTAAAATTCAGTGGCAGACAGCGGTTCATCTGCACTGGGTCTCTCGCTTTGCAAATCCCTAGCTCTGCAGGAGGATTTTGTTACCACTGTCCAGTGCTGGAGGAGGACAGAAGTAGCAGAAACCTGGCAAAATTCCCATTCTGGCTCTCCCAGCAACAGCAGCGATGTAAGAGCCACAGCAGTCAGGATTCAGCCTGTGTTTTCAAGCAATAAAAATGTCTGGGCTGTCTTGAACTTGGCAAGTTAGTACTACAGCAGCTGCACCATTAATGGCAGTTGGTGAATTATGAGTACTCATGTTCTAGTATTTTCAGCAAAATGGTGATTTTTCCAAAGCACGGCAGGCAAAATGTGATTGTTCTATTTAAAAAAAAAAAAATGTGATTTTTTTATTTAAAAAAAAAAAAAAAAAAAAGGCGGGGAAAAACCCCCACACACTCACCCTTGCATCTCAGTGTTCTTTTTTATACTATCAAGCAGGAAAAAAAAAGACTAAGCATAATTGTTCTCCCAAACGGCTGGCCTCTAAGACTCTTAATACCTCCGAGATAAAGCTGGGCTTTATTATTTCATATTAATTAGAGGCAAAAAACAGACAAAGGAGTTAATCTGCTCAACCACACCTACTCCACTATCACTCACAAAGCTGGGAAAAGAATCAAGGCATATCCTGCGCCTCAGGTACCAAAAACACCACTTACCCTGGATAGGCTTAAACTCGTCACATTCTGAATACTCATTTTTCAGTTGGCTCAGAATTGTTATATTCTTTCATACCAGTGCGCTGTGAGCAAAGATCTGCCTGTGTGGAAATGACTGCAAGCTCCGGGTGCTAGCTTGCAACACATAATGAGATACTGGGAATGCAGAGTGCACAGATATTGCCCACAGAGGAGGACAAAGCCAACCCTGCAGATAAATAACGCAATAAGGAAGAAAACAAGAACACTGACAGCACACTGATGAAAACAGCTCAAGAAAAAAGCCTGTGGTCTTGTCTTTGTGATCTCCAAAAATCCTGCTTGTTTAAGTCAACCCAGAGATTTGATGACTGCAGTGGTATTTCCCTAAGCAGACTCTAATTATGTCCTCTTGCATAAACTCTCTCCTATTCTTGCACATGCTTGCTCCCATCATCAGTCCCACAAAACAAAAGGGCAAAGCCCAAGGTAATTTCAGACACATACATGTATCTGCCTGGCAGAAGGCTATTTTTAGCAACACATCACTGTGCGGGAACTCTCAATCCAGTCCTTTGTAAAATGGAGCTTCTTAATCATTTGATTTCCATGGCAGCACCAGAGAAATACCGTAGCACAGCGCTATGGTTAGGTACGCACAGATGTATATTCACCCTGCTCTGCCCCAAAGGTGATCAACACACACACACATGCAGCTTTCTCAGCTGCATGGAGAACAAGAGGCGACTGTTAAAGGACACTGAAAGGCGTCACTTTGAAAAGCATCATTAAGAAGTACTTTTTTCACACAGTGCACAGAAAAGCCTACGGGATTCACAGCCACAAAGTACCGAAGAGACTAATCAAGGTTTCAGAATAGGGCCAGGCATTGCTGCAACCAGTGAGAACGCTCGGGATCACTGAAGCCAGCATTTTCATGGGAAACAAAAAATTTTGAATGGAATCTTTTGTTTTACCCCTCCAGACAAAGTCAAACCAACCTCTGATGCTGAAGGTTAGAGAACAAGCTATTCCAAATGTCAGGGTTTCTTTCGCTAAAGCAGCTATTGCTGACTATCAGAGAGAACGCATTGGCTTTGGACCACCGCATTTATCCAGTATGGCAATCGCTACCAGCAAACAGCCACTTACAGAAGACATCCTGAACTAATGTCAAATAGAAGTGTGTAATGTGTCATTTCACGGACGTGGAAAAAAATAGGAGAAAGCAAGCCTGTGAAGAAATGAATCGTGTATAGCCTGGAAAACCAAAAAAGCCTTCCAGTGTTTAGCCACTCCACATTTCTCTGAATCTTTTGAAGACTTCTCCTGCCTTGCATTGCTCTTTGAACTTATTTTTGTTACGTCCCTATCATAATCAGGCTGCTCATATGTTACAGCTTACAATTTCTTTCAAGTTTGCTATTCTTTCTCCTCCCCCCCCGCCCAGGTATACACAGCTTTCTGGGTAACGTGGATTTCTGGACTGCTTTTCCTCCTGTTATTTTCCTTTTCTAGACAAATCACCCTGCACAGATCTGTAGTTTGCATTTGCAAATGAACACAGAGCATATGCAAATAACTGTGGAAGAACTTTCTCTGTAGATGTAAGTGCCTTAAAATATGGGCACAGCAGGAGTTCAGACATCTTTGTAGCGTCATCCGTTTTGCCCTGCTTTGAAAATTTGGCGTCTTCGTCTTAGGAGTGAGATATTTTCTTTAAACAAAGCACAACAGCATAATGCATTATGGCAAAGGCAGACTGCAAAGCTGACATCTATGACAGCTCAGTAGAGTAAATGGGAACCTACAAACATAAGACTGAAATGGTGGGAATGGCAGCTATGGGTGTCAATTGCCACTCATCGTCCCTTTATTCAAAAGGAAAAAAGGGAGTAATGGAAAAACCAGGACTGTGCAAGTATCTTCCTCTGAGCTTAATAACCATTTGCAACTGATACTTTGATCATGAGTATTTCATAAACCTCTAATGGATTAAACTTTCAGTCATCGCTGCAAAAACAAAAAAAAGACAACACTGATTGACGGGCAAGCAAGACTACTTATTTTCAAAATTAACTTATGATGATAGTAGAGAAGTAAGCTGTTGACAGAAAAACCACAGCAGTTCGAGTATCTTGACTGATATGACCTTTTGAATGCAATTTTGTAGATGGACACAATACCCTGCAAGCAAGGGTAGGTATAAATTTGTATATTCTTACTTTCACTCTACTCAATCCCTCTGTTCCCCCAAGCCGCCTCTTTCCAGGATAACCAACTACAAGGGGTCCAGCACTGCTTAGAAGATATAGACTTATCTCTGGGTACAATATAGGTTGTTGCTATTACTATTACAATTATTAATATTAATATTACTATTATAATCATAATCACCACCTATACCATTGTTTCTGTTGTTATATATTCCACCTATATTCAGCTGATAACCAAATTCCAGAAAGTATGCTGACATTCAAGAAATGCTCTCATATAGATGTAATGCTTTGCGCTATCGCCAGACAAGATTTTGTAGCCTAACACTGCAAGATTGGTGTTTTCTCACAAGGACCAATCACTCATATTTCAGATTAATGGTAGCTGAAAACGCTCAGCACTTCCCAGGATCTGTCTCATTTCCATTCACACTAGACATCTAATTATTTAGGTTTTCTTACCTCCAACTCTGGAATTGTAGGCTACTCCAACTCCGCATTTTCTGTTGTTGGCTTGCATAGCAATTTCTCCTGCACACCTTGTCCCATGCCTGAATAAATACAGTAAGAACAAACAACATCTCATAACATCTTTGTGTAATGTACACAAAGACTCATCAATGACCTTCTTGAATTGGTGGAAGCCTTCCTTTAAACGAATGCAACTCAGCTATTGAATAGCTTTTGAGTTGTACCTACATGACATAAAAATACTTGTTTCTCTTAGCCCTCAATCAACATAATTTTACCTGCTTAATGACCAAGAGAACACTGTGATGAGATGACAAATACCTAATCTCAGTCACACCGAGGTCCACAGACCTATCAGATACCAGTGTTTTATTAGAGTGCAAAAGCAGCGTAAAAGTATGGGGCTAAGAAGCTGCTAAACCTCTTCAGACAGAAATACGACACAAGTCTTCTTTAATCACACAATTAGATACTCTTTTTTTAATTACTGCATTTATTTGGGGTTTCAGAAAGTTAGCCTTTAAAGCATCCTCACCATTGCTAACTTTTTCTTGTAACTATTTTCTACGCAATATTTTTTTGCCTTAGGCGATTCTTATTCCACAATGCAGAAAATCTTCATGTAAGTGTAATTGTAAGAGAGTTGCGTTATTTAATACTACAGGTTGTTATTCAATGAAGTGTTTGAATGCTTCTGGGCTGAATTCCATTTACTTATTAATAAAGATTAGAGGTAATACAGGCAGATTTAAGAGATAATGTCATTCAAACAAGAGCATAGTGGCTTCTTGTTCTTATATAATACTGTAACAAAGTAGAAATGTCATTTTTCAAATGTCTTATTCATGGGACATTTATCCTTTGGTTGATCGGGTTTTTTCCTCACACACTAATTTATGTTGTAGATGCTACTGTATTTCCTGACAGAAAATAGGGAACAGAATCACAGAATCACAGAATCCCAGCATGGCAGGGGTTGGAAGCGACCTCTGTGGGTCACCCAGTCCAATCCCCTGCCCAAGCAGGGTCACCTACAGCAGGCTGCACAGCACCGCGTCCAGGTGGGGCTTGAATATCTCCAGAGAAGGAGACTCCACAACCTCCCTGGGCAGCCTGGGCCAGGGCTCCGTCACCCTCAGAGGGAAGAAGTTCTTCCTCATGTTCAGACGGAACTTCCTGTGCCTCAGTTTGTGCCCATTGCCCCTTGTCCTGTCACTGGGCACCATTGAAAAGAGCTTGGCCCCATCCTCCTGACACCCACCCTTCAGATATTTGTAGGCATTTATAAGGTCCCCTCGCAGCCTTCTCTTCTTCAGGCTGAACAAGCCCAGTTCCCTCAACCTCTCCTCGTAGTGGAGATGCTCCAGTCCCCTCACCATCCTTGTAGCCCTCCGCTGGACTCTCTCCAGTAGCTCTTCATCTTTCTTGAACTGGGGAGCCCAGAACTGGACACAGTACTCCAGATGAGGCCTCACCAGGGTAGTGTAGAGGGGAAGGAGAACCTCCCTCGTCCTGCTGGCCACACTCTTCTTGATGCACCCCAGGATCCCATTGGCTTTCTTGGCAGCCAGGGCACACTGCTGGCTCATGGTTAACCTGTCGTCCACCAGGACACCCAGGTCCCTCTCCGCAGAGCTGCTCTCCAGCAGGTCCACCCCAAGCCTGTACTGGTGCATGAGGTTGTTCCTCCCCAGGTGCAGGACCCTGCACTTGCCCTTGTTGAACCTCATCAGGTTCCTCTCTGCCCAGCTTTCCAGCCTATCCAGGTCACGCTGAATGGCAGCACAGCCTTCTGGTGTATCTACCACACCTCCCAGTTTGGTGTCATCAGCAAACTTGCTGAGGGTACATTCTAACTCTTCATCCAGGTCGTTGATGAAGAAGTTAAACAAGGCTGGGCCCAGTACTGACCCCTGAGGGACACCACTAGTTACCGGCCTCCAACTAGACTCAGCGCCGCTGATGACAACCCTCTGAGTTCTGCCATTCAGCCAGTTCTCGTGCACCTCACTGTCCACTCATCCAGCCCATACTTCCTGACCTTCCCTAGGAGGATGTTATGGGAGACTGTGTCGAAAGCCTTGCTGAAGTTGAGGTAGACAACATCCACGGCTCTCCCTTCATCTACCCAGCCAGTCATGTCATTGTAGAAGGCTATCAGATTGGTCAGGCATGATTCCCCCTTGGTGAATCCATGCTGACTACTCCTGATAACCTTCTTTTCCTCCACTTGCTTGTTGATTACCTCCAGGATAAGCTGCTCCATCACTTTTCCCGGGATGGAGGTGAGGCTGACTGGCCTGTAGTTCCCTGGGTTCTCCTTCTTGCCCTTTTTGAAGACTGGAGTGACAGTGCATCAGTTTCTTACTGTATATTTCTCGAGTAGCAGCATCCTAATTGGTTTAAGAAATTGACTTCTTCTGTGTACCAGTTTCTAAAGAGGTCCATTCTCTTCTCTTTCTGATGGACAAAATCGCTCCCTGAACTAACATGGATAAGCCTAGGTGCGACAGGCCCATCAAGATGTTCCACACAGTACCAAAGGGGTAGCTCTAGCGAGGGCATCAAAAAAAATCCCACAGGTCCACCAAGTGAACTGGCTGGTTGTCTTGTGTTCAAGCCTTTTGAAACTTCCTAGGTTATTACCTTGAGGATATTTAGGCCAAAACTGGTCTAAATAAGCTTCTATATGCCTCAGAAGAGACAGAAAGGTTGTCCCAGGAGTGAATGTATCCTCCTCCAGTGTCTGACCACGTCTCATACCCACACGAGAGGAGGTCAGAAGCATGACTTCACGTGTGATGGTGTGCACCGAGCTAGAAGCTGTTCCATTGGTCCAAAAGGTGCTACCAACATTGGAAAACAGCATCCTTGGCTACAAAAGCTGATCTGAAGGGATGGATTTCTTAGTAGGTTCCTCTAAGACACAGTCTCTTCTAGAGCCCTTCAGAGGAGACACGTTCTTTTAAAATTCCCAGTGCAAAGCAGAGAACTGAAGTCAAAATCTGCTTAGGGAGGTATCACTCTAGAACACACACAGTGACATGAACAGAATGCTCCCTTCAACTTACAGAAACATATCAGTACTTTACACATACAAAGAAGTTCAGGCCATTATAGGAAGATTACATTTATGAAGCTTTTCATCTGGGAATATAATTTCCTTAGTTTCCAGTGTTTGTGTCAATGGTGCGTGCAAATCTTCGTGCAAACTGAAACCTGGGAGGCTCCTTCCCAACATCAGGAAACACTTTTTTGCTGTGAGGGTGGCAAAACACTGGCACAGGTTTGCCAGGGTGGTTGTGGAGTCTACCTCCTCAGAAATACGCAAAAGTCATCTAGACATGGTCCTGGGCAACCGGCTCTAGGTCTGCCTGGTCAGGCAGGGGGATTGGACCACACAAACTTCAGGGGTCCCTTCCAGCCTCAACCATCCTCTGACTCTGTCACACAAATGCTTCCTTGTATTATATAATTGTCATAGGGGACATACATAGATGTTTCTGTATTTGCATGTTCTAACAGACAAATTAATAATGTACTGTTTTGTTCTCTGCGCACAACTGGGAGGCTACTCACTTGTTTTCATTTGTTGGGTCATATCTAGGAAAGGGATCATGATCATTGTCATTGAAATCATAACTTGCCTGGGGATCCTACATTTGAAAAAAAAACAAGACAGAATTAAATCAGACAACTAAACAATGCATTTTAAAATGTGTAACAAAATGGGTTCTAGAGTCTGTATTTATTTGGTGTGGCTCTTGCTGACAGCCATCAAGTTGGTAGAATTCAGCAGGCATTAATGATTCCATAAATTTTTCAAGGAGCTTTAATAACACAACATTAAACCACTGTATTCTAACATGCCTGGAAACTAAATCTATCGTGAGAAAAAAAAAAAAAAACAGCAAAAAAAACCCTGCTATCATTGCTAAGTAACATTCGGATTCCTGTGACACAGACCAGGTTCCAAATTCTGCCTAAGGCAAATATTTCAGTCTCTGTACTGCAGGAGCTGACTTACAGAACTGACAGCAAGCTGGACAAGAGCATCCCTATATCAAATTTATAACTGATTAATTTATTCCATGGCATTCTAATGTCCAAACTTACATAGTTAGTGTAGATGTCAGTGTGATTCCACTCCAAGCCATCGTCCAGTACTGTGATGACAACACCCTTGCCTGTAATGCCTTTTTGCCATACAGGAATAACATGGAGATCCAGTTTGGGCAGGGATGGAGTTATTCTTGTATCTTGCTGGGGGACAGTAAGGAATAAAATCCATCAACACTTCTATCCATTTACACTACACAGATCCCAAGTCGTTTTTTAAGGGTGCTCTAAATCATCCCAGCCTGAACTTGCATATTTGCCTCAAATTTTACAAATATAAAATAAAAATAACACTTTAAATACTTGTAGCACTGAAAGATTTACCCCATTACTTGCAGATCCTGGAAGACCCTCTCCGAACAAAGAGTGTCTTTTATTTATCAGAGGTAGGCAGCAGTAACACGGGAGTGGTACGGATGTACAGATGAACCTTGGAACGATGAGTTAATAATCAGACCCGCTAACGTTTGTTGTTTTCACTTGATGAGAAGCCAAGACAGAACCCCCCAGTACAGTGAGCCGCATTTTCTCCAAATGTGTTTTCTCCTTTGATGTTCAAGTTAGCCAGAGCAAAATAATTAATGGATAAAACAAATTAAGGTAGTTGTTTGGTTAGGAACAACTGTGCTGAATCACAACTTTCTGTTTACTACCCTCATTACTGTTCCTGCAGTAAATCAACTGGAAGCATGAATCATCTACAGCCTTCTCTTCTACAGCAAGTTCTTTGAAGAGCAGCTCCGAAATGGGTCATTTTTCCTCTCTAATATTAAATGTGCAGTACATACATCTAATTTCAAAAGCTTGCTTACAATCCTCATAAAAAAAAATGGTGTAAAAAAAAGCATTTTCTTTCTGTTTCTCTGTGCATAATTACATTAGTTGATGGCAGGTTTTTCATTTCTTTACTTCCAAAGGAATGTTGCATACAATGTAAGGTTTAGAAAAAGATTTTTTTTACGGGAATGGCCTTTCTTTCATTTTATGCTTTCTCTTCTGACTGCTGCTGTTCAGGGAATTATTTGAGGTTTCAAGTTTTGTTCTCTAGAATCCATCAAATAATCATTTTTTCTGGTGATGTGTGAAGATCCACTGAATAGAGCTAAAAACTGTTCCCATCAAATCACAATAATAAGGCAAAAATAAGTTATTTACTACAAGGCGAGGAACAAATTTTGGAAGAAAGCATTTAACACATTTATGCATTTAACCAGAAGAAATTCAAGGTGCACTGCAAACAAGAGTAAGCATCATGTTTCTGTTTCTCATGTCAAAAAACTACAGGGAAAAGAAGTGAAAACGACAGAAAGGTAGGAACAGAAACTGTATCTCCTGGAGAGCAAGACACTGGGGCTTTTTTTCACAAAACTGCTTTTCTGAACTCCGTGTGTGCTTGTGTATTTGTCCAATATAGACAGCTAGGAAATTTCCTGCTTCCTATTTGAAACAGGCAAAGAAGCAAACAGATACTCAGCTTCAAGAAAAAATCAAATTCTTAAAGATAACCATTTTTTATATTGAAGTCTGCAGGAATCTTCATGGAAATATTTTATGCTATGCGGTTTACAGTTTATTTTTCCAGGCTCAAACAAAGGAAAAAGAGGGCAAAGCATTACACAAACAGGCTAGAGTTTGGTCTGTTTTCTCCAAGCTGAACTGAAGAAGAGAAAGGTACTTCTAGCCACTCGGGCCACATTTGTGCTTGACCTTTCTTTTTGGTTTGCTACACTCACCTTTAATCCCATCTCTATTCTGAGTGAAAGCAATGAAGCCTAGACTGAAGGTACAGCTAGACCCACAGTGGAAATACAGACTCTCGAAAGAAACCATGTAAAACATAAATGATCAGCTGTTACTTCCGAGTTGTCACATGAAGACAGAAACTATAGAGGTCAGAAAATTTCTTTTCGCTGAGGTTTTGAACATGTAAGCTGTTGAGACTCTCTTCCCTTTAAATCCTAGCCGAAGTGGCTGAGGGTGCTTGTCACACGCACACATATGCTTTTGTTTTCGTCTCGAGTATGCACTCTGCACTAACAATTTTACTAAAGGATACATAGCCAGCTTCACACCAGACAAGGGAATTCTTATATGCCAACAGCAAATATTTTAAAATTATCATAAACGTAGCTTTTATCTGTTAACACTGCTTTCTAATACCAAACCCCACCCTACGCAGCAGCTGAATTGGCTTTTCAAATCTTTGCACAAACGACGCTTCAAAGAAAACAGAAGATTGCCTGGAAATATTACCACAGAAATCTCTCATTTTTATAGCATATGCTAATGAGAGGGACTCGTCATTTACTCCCTTCAGTGCAATCACTCTGATACAAGTGACACAACACAGCTGATAGCACAACCGAAATTCACCATCCCCAGTTCCACAACAAAACGAATTCTTACCAGATACCACTGCTGATTCCACATAGGATCATTGAACAGATTTTCTGCTGAGTCTCTCACGGTGGCACGCTTAGTTCGCTTTTTTTCATATTGCTGCTCTGCCCATGACACCTACAATTATTTGTATAAATACAAGTAAGCCTCTATAGGTTAGGACTTTCTTAGCCTAGAGGGTAAGGAGTTTCCTTACACAGCAAAATCTTGATGCCTAAAGCAAAATGAATAATGTTTAGTGCAGAGGGGAGGATTACGTATACTGTAGTACAGTGTACTTTGGGGCAGAGGACTTGGTGAAATCACAATGCCACAGAATCAATTCATTAAAAAATCAAGTACAAGTTCACAGTAGAACTCCTGTGAGTGCCACACAATGCAGGCTTTTATGTCAAACGTGTAGTATGGTTAGAAGGCTATCTAAGCAGTGGTGGTTACCAAAACAAGCAAAACCACAGCCTGCTTCTTTCTTCTACATACATTTTAATGCCTGTTTCTACAGGGAGCTAAAGGGAAAGGAGAAAGATTATCTCTGGCTTTAGTCTAGCAATCATAATAATGCTGTTACCCGCAGCCCAGCTGGACCTTCAAGTCTCCTTCCCAGTGATGTTTTGAAGTGCGATCAATTAGTAAGCTATGAATATTGGACTAACTTCATCACTGGCATAATTCCACTTCAGGCAACCGAAAGCCGAAACGCTTCTGTGAGTTTTGCTAAAGCATCAGTACAATGAGTTGCACAGCATTTGTGCATGGACACAGCAATCTCTAAGTCACCACGCTGCATTTTAAAAGTGTGCGCGGCATTTTAGAAGCGTATCCCGCTTTGTTTCCCTGAACGCATTACTAAACCCAGTGCAAATCAAATCCTGATTCCGATACCTCTCTCCGTGCTGTGCGCTCCTTTTGGAAGTGGGAATAAAACGTTATTCATTGCTAGTACCTGGACGGTCACTCTGACCCAGATCAAGCTGGTGCTTTTCACCCCAATTGCCGGACGAGCAGGTTCAGTAGATTGCCTCGACCCTGCTGTCAGCCTCAAGTGGAGGACGCCTTGGATCTAGCCTTTTGCTTTAAATGTCTGAATAGATTTAATTATTTTTCTCTACTGGCTATTTTTCTCTAATGGCTTTATGGTCCTTACATCTATCACCATATACAACACAATAATAAGAGTGACTCAGAAATTATAGTGATTAGAAAAAGTATCGATTTGGTTAAAGTACAATTTTCTAGTGACAGCCTAATGAAAATTCACTACAAGAACATAAACCCTTAAAAATGGTAGCTACACCAGGCGTGTTTACTGAAAGCTTTCTCATGCTATTCACTTTGCTCTATATTTAGTGCTAAACCCCCCTACAAACCATAGGAAGTCACAGAAGACAAATCTACCCGTGCAGGTATAAGTATTTTAAACTGCGCTGTTGATATCCAGGGCCATACATACTTGTGCACAGGTTAGAGCAATTACCTTTATCTCTCCTCCCTGCCCACAGCAAAGCTTGGCCTCTTCATCACCCAACAGTAATTAACAACTGACAACTTCCATCCTTGTTATTTTTTTCGACATGGACAACTGCACTGAGGGAAATGAGCCGAAACCACCAAGCACATATGTCAGATAAACAAGCCAAACGTTTGTCACTCAGCAGCTGGGTGAGGTTCAAACCGTCCATCTACGGCAAGAGCTGAAGGCCCTGTGCCAAATCTCCGGTCACTGACATAGAAAGCAGTGAAAATAATCTTGATTCAGGTCTCTTGCGAGAAAGTAGATTTGGAAGCCAGTGCAAATACTGTAAGAAGTTAAGGAACCAGGTAATTATATCCTTTCAATATATTCACAGCCTTTATCTGTTTTACAACAAACACTGGGACATCTATAGGAAGCAGACAAATACTCAGATTCGAGCCAAGTTTTACCCCAGCTTTCACACTTAACATACCGTAAAATTCATGAAGGCATTATACAAACGAAAGCAGGATTCCCTTCTCTCTGTCTTTTTAAAGACTGAATTTAAATCTTTTTAAATAGGCTGCTGCTGAAGAAGAGTAGCTCTTTGGAGCAAAGGTCCATGTATAACTACACAGCATTACATGATTGCTTTGTGTTTATATACTTACATAATGACATAATTACATCTCATTCATTCACATAGTTAATTTGCATACTAGATGGTAAATACAAGGGAAATTGGGAGTAAATTTAGCAAATCACCTGCAGCACTTTGAAGCTCTGTTTTTGGATCTAAGTATGTAAGTCTGCAATAATGTTTGGCAGTGATTTGTGCAACACAACTGCTTCCATTCTTCTTATGACATTAGAATTTGGTGTATTAAACATCGTCATGCTTCCCTCTGTAAGAGATGCATTCAAAGTCCAAAAAAGGGAGGAACTGCAACCAATATTCTGCTCCTGAACATCATACTACGATGGCATTGAACATCTGATCATAGCTATGGGTATAAATGAGAACACTAATTTACACTAGAGCTGTGGTTTTGAACATGCCCCATTTAGAATGATTTTGCCTAGAAAACTTTAACTGTTAAAAGCAATGTTTGCAAGGGCATAGATGGGAGCATACAGTTTTGAAACAGCACAGGCTAAACAAATACCCTGTCTCACCCCCTTGTTTAATTCTTCTAGCTACTCATAGCATATTCCCTCCTAGATGACATTTGCATCTGAAACATCCATATAACCAATTACTCGTTCTGAAGTGATTTGTCCACATATGACAAATTGCTGGTTTTCACAACCAGGTTACTTCATGTTTCAGAACTGCTCATATTTTGACTACGATTGCTGCAGTAATGATGACTTGAAATCAGATTCTGTTGTTCTGAGATTTACCAGAAACTGTTTTTAAGATGGGCTCACAGCATTGTGGTCTGTTCCTCTAAATTTGCCACCCGCCCCACTTTCTCCGTATGTTTACAAACTGACATGCTCCTCTCCTAAATAAAGTCAAACCAATGGGGGGTCTGCTTCACCAGTGGACCGTGCCTTAGAGCCCCAGCTCTCCAGCGTGCCTGTTCTCTGACTGCAGTGGGATCCCAGTGCACCAAACAACCACAAGTCTCGAACGTGTGATGGATCCTTAAGGAAAGGCTTCTTAGCTTGTCACAGACAAAGCAAATCCAGCAAAACCTCAGCCGTTTCCACCTCTCTATTTTTTTTTCGTATTCAGTCACTTTAAATCAAACCTAATTCCCATGGTAATTGCACAGACATGGCCTGATTAAACTAACTGCATCTATGGATTTTTACTCTGAATCGAGCCCTGTGGTTCCTCGTTCGTATTTTCATCAGCAACACATCGACATCTGAAATTCCAGCCTCTGCAATGCTGCATATCTTAAATCTTAATTTGGAAAGCACTTGCAAAAAATACAGGAAGAGAGGGTCAGATTCTGCCTGTTAATGACAGAATAATAAAGTATTATTCAGCACGAGTATGGATGGCTGAATATATTAGACTTGCAGAACGAGTAAAGCTTGCCTGTGACCTCATTACAATGCTAGCAATCAGGAGACAGATAAACAGAGGGCACGAAAGAGAACGTAACGCTCACCCGCTCATCATCAGAAAGTCTTTTAGTGATATGAATGGCACTTCTTCGAGACCGTCTTGGATGGCTTTTGTGTCTGAATAGGTAGTGATTTTTGAGTGATCCGATCTGTAAGACAGAGGCGTACTTTAACCATCAAGAGGTATTTCCCCACTGGAAACAAATATCAACAACCACAACCTGATCGAATTAGTTCTGCTTAAAAGAGGAAAGGAAAGAGCAAGAAACTATCCTTCAGGCATTTTAAACTAAAGTATTCTTCAAGTAAGAAGTGCTTATCACAGTCAGTGTGCTGCCAGGAGAAACTGGGGGAGCAATTTCACTTAACCTAGTGAGGAAGCAATCATTAATGCCACAGCACTCGGTAACGCAGTGCTTGTGTGAGTGACCAGTACACTCAGGGACACATTTCGAGGGACAGGTTTTACGCATGCCCACACGCCAGCGCTGCCCGCTCCTACTGGGGTTCAGCTGAACGGGTGTGAAAAGCTCCGTGCGGCCTCACAAACCTCGCTGCGGGATGGGGGTTTGTAAACCGGCACCTACAGAACTGGCGTTCTCACCTGCGCGGTGGCCGGACGCCCGGAGAGCCGGCTGCACCCCGCCGCCTCGAAGCACCCCTCTTCCCGAGCAGG